CCCATGTCCACTAAGTCAGAAGTCCCCGATTTACACACGAATAAGATCCCTGCCATCTGTTCCACATCCTGGAATGCCAGTTGTATCCTGGCAATGGACAGAAGGAGTTTACGCACTAGTAATGCCTCTATCTTAATGTGGATATTTGGAATAGCATTCGGACAGTAATACACTGAATTGTGTCCTAATCTTCCAAAATAAAAACAGTAGGAGTTAAAACTACCTGCCTACCAAGCTCCCATGACTGGGGATGATTATATGAAGAATTCCAGAATTTAGAGACTTTATAGAGTTTACTTGTGAATGTGATGCATTCCCTTTCCACCCCCCTGCCCCCTGCCATGGTCTTGTGGGCATGTCATAGCATCCTTTACATCCAGACATTTATCTCACCTTGCAAAAGGCCTCTTGCCTCACCAAAGAACCAGGCAGTCTCATGACCCATAGTAAGGAAAAACATGGAGTGTTCAGCGGCAGTCTTTTCTTGCTCACTATTGGAGGTCCCAGTTAAAAAAACCCGTGGCCCAGATCATTTTCTAGGCAGTCTCTAGTCTTAGGTCTCACTCTATACTCCAGTGCCCTAGAAGGCCTACAAGGGTTAGCGTTGTGGTCAGCTCTGCAGGAATTGGGACCAACATGTTCTGTAAGCTCATACCATGGCAGCTTATTGATGCTGCTGCCCAAGCCAGCAGTTGTAGCTGTGACATTGGGTGGCACAAGGCCTTGCCAGGGCTTCCAGATCCTCAGGATCTTACTTGGGATAGAGCCAAAGCCAGAGCTGTGTGACTGGCTGCCCACGAGGCACCTGGCAGTCCAGAGTCCTGAGCTCAGCTCACTGCACACTCCGGTGATTGCTACTGCTGCAGTACCAGCCCACACCTTGCACAGCAATCCTTGTGTTGGAGGGTAGTGGCTACCTTTCTAGGAGATTGCCATGTCCTTAGGGCCAGGAAGCAGGATTTTAGTGGGGTGGGAGGTGACTTGGCCAAGCTGCACTCTGAGGCCAGCCTCTGGCAGTGCTTGTGGGTGGCTAATATAGTAGAGGGAAGGTCAAGGATAAGTGTGGTGGTCTGTGAGAGAGTTGATTCTAGCTCCTAGGAAGCAAATAACGCCAAGCTGTAGGTGGATTCCCAAAGACCCAGGAGCCTGAGGTTCTCATCCAACAACGGGAAGAACCCACCCAGCTGCCTGCAGCAGCTCCAAGCTGCAATAAGGAAACATCTGCATTTCCTTTAGCAGCAGCACAGCCCCCGCACAGACCAGGGGCTAATGAGCTTTTCCCCTGTTGGCTGATGGAGGACACCTGCAATAAAGTTTAATGTAGAAGAACAAGGTGCATATAACCGAAGCTGTAAACACCTCTAATTCTATTTAAAACTATAGGGTGCAGTGCATTAACATTTAACAACCGGACAGACACTGAATTGGCGTGGAACTAATCAAGCTGTGTTTATTAGAAAGCAGGTACCAAGTCATCTTTACCAATGCCAACAGAAGGGGCAGAACTCGGCAACACCACCCCTCATGCCCTACCTTGTGCATCCATTAAGAGTCTTGTCCAAATCATGGAACAAAAAGGTGGAGATTGCTTTGGAAAAACAATGTCAGGCAAATCAGACATAACCCATATCAAAGTCTCATGCATCTGGGGAAACTTTCCCCTGGGGTAACACATTTTTAACATGAGAATCTTTCAGAATGCGCCAAGACACAGCCTCTACCCCACTTTGTAGAGTTCCCACCACTGAGCCCCTTCTGAGAGGGGAACCTCAGAGCATTTCCTTGCCCTCCCTGTCCCCTCTGCTTGTTCACTCACCTCTGATCTCCTCTGTCTTCCTCACCTGCTCTGGACCTGTCATATGGGACACTTCTCACCAATCAGAACCGGCCACCTTGCTTTCTCATTGGGTAGCATCTCCCTGAGGATTTTGCCCACTGTCCAGGCTCCAGTGTTGGCCTAACACTCTGAGAATACCTCAATCCCCATGGAGCTCAGGATCCACATTTCTGTTTCTAGCACTCAACATCCTTGAAGCTCAGTGAGACCACATTGAATGCAGATCTTTCTCCCATGCTGTACATCTCTGCTTTGTTTTCAATGTTAAGGAACAGCTTCTCTTCCTCATGTGGGGATAGGGATATGGTTCTGAGTGGAGTCACCGTCTCTACCATGTGGTTCTGAGTGGGGTCACCGTCTCTACCATGTGGTTCTGAGTGGGGTCACCGTCTCTACCATGTGGTTCTGAGTGGGGTCACCATCTCACAAGTCATCTCATCTAGTCTCACAAGAGATCTGGCTCCAAGTGACAGAGCTGGCCACCTTCTCGAACCAGTCTCTTGAGTCAAGAGGACTGGAAAGACATCCGGTTGTGGGGAAACCATCTTAAAATTCAGAGCCAACACAAGAAGCATTTCAATAAACCTGACATGGGGCATTGGAGTCCACCTCTCAGCACTGCTCCAGATGTGTCATCCCTACTCTAACCCCGAGGGTCCCTTCCTTAGAGAGTGTATTAGTGCTGAAATTCCCCATTGAGAAAGATGTCACTCAGGTAGTATGGGACACAGAACAGTGGGAGTTCACAGTTACAAAGATAGCCCATTTTCCACATCCATAGGTGATTCAACCACCTATAGATTGAAACTATTTCTTAAAATGTTGGTGATGAATACATACACTCTTGCTTTCTGGTCATTATAGCATTTATATTGTTTTAGCAGCCATAGGTAATCTAGACATGTCTTAAGTATTCAGGCTACATACAGGTGTTATATTTTATATAAAGGACAAGCCACTGGGGCCCTAGAGTCAATCCCAAAGAACAAAGGATGGCTGTACAGCCATTGGATGAGATAGATGTATTGGGTTTCTTAGGCTGGAAAAAAAAAGATGACCCACACACCCTTTCAGAATTATTTCCATTGCTATTTGTCTAGACAGTGTAGAATTGGATTTAAATGGTGAGACAATGAGACAGATTGTGATTAAAAGAACATCTGGACAAAGAGATGAATCCGAGGAGCTGGACAGGATTGTATGCTTACAGGACACTACTGCCTGTTTCTCTCTCAGTCTCCATGGGCCTCAGTCTGTCATCCGCAAAAGGAAGAGATCGTTTCTTTCTCACAAGGACTGGGTGGCTGAAATAGGCATATGCGTCCTTTGGGCCGTATTTGTGGGCAGAGGTTCAAGCCTCATTCTTGGCCCATTGTGGTTATGGTCATGTAGATCAGAGTGATAAAATTGATCATGAACAATCTCTAAAAGTCAGCCTTTGGCCAACCCACATAATTATGCATTAAAAACTATGGAGTCTTCCATGTCCTTTTCATGCCTATCAGGAGGTGACAGGCCCAGTGTGGCTTTTGTTTCCTGAGCATGGAGGAGATGGAGTGCTGTAGCGAGGAAGGGATCTTAACAGAATCCCAGCGCTCCCCATGCCAGGGCTGTTTCAGCTCGGGGCTTTGTAAGCAACACATCTTGACGCGAGCTTCATTCTGTCTCCTTCTCATGCTGCCGCCTGTGAAGATTCCTTGACATCTGGGGCCTAGGCCAAAATTCATCCCCAACTGAGCCTGTTTGCACTCCATCCCCGAGAAACCATTACTCCAAAAATTGGTCCATGCTTGCTTTAATTGATTTGAACATGGAAGCAGCTGTCCATTTTGGGAAATTACTCAATGATGACATCATTGCTCCTATTGATGCCTTATAGCAAGAAGAACTCTCTGCACTTTCTAGTTGCTGGGTGTTCCCCCTCACTTAGATTCAGAAATGTCAATTCATGGTGAGTGGTCTATTTGGTAGAGAATGAGTGACTAGACACATTTTCTAAGCAAGAATGCCAAAATCTGTCACTTCAAATAAGCACCAGGTACAAATCACCCATTACCCCTGCTCTGAGAATGCTTGTGTGGTTTCCTTTTGAAGAATGGCAGAGACCAGCTCTGCAGGCATGCTGTGAGGCTTCTGCTCCCCGTTAAAGGAAATATTCAGTAGCCCCCCCCCCTCCATCCCTACAACTTGGTGAGTGAGGACTTATACAGCTGTGACCAGAACTTGAGAGAAAAAGGCTAAAGTGAATCTGTTTCAATTACAGCTTCTGGACGTTTCCTAAAAGCATGTGCTATTCTTAGTGGAATGCGTTGTCCATGTATGATGGCCCTAAGCTTTCACTGTACCCAGAAAAAGAGCAGGCTTGGGTATTTGTGGGCCTCACCTCTTCATTTGTCCCACTCTCTACTCCCAGTTGGCACCTCAGTGTCCCTGTTTGCCTGTATGGTTATGTGTGCAAGTTAGGGAATCACTTTGTGTCCTCAAAAGACTATACACCCAACTGCTAGAACCCTGTCATGATAAAATGTAACATTCTCTAGGATAATCCTGGTATCGGTGGTGTGTGAGTTGTGGTTTTCCTCTTCCAAAGAAGATGCCCTAGAAAGTTCTAGTACATTATTTTAAATGGTCTTTCTTCTTCAAAAGCCGTGTTTCAGGCACAGAGAGAGGAGACAGGATGCAGGTGTCATCAGAGAGGATCGACTTCCACACCAGTTTTTGCAGGACCCTTTCCAATAAACACAAGAACTATTCACAGGGACCCGGGGGTCTGTGGGAACATTACAGCTTTAGGACCAAGTTTGCAGGTAAAAAAAAAAAATGTGTTTTAAAGCTACTACCAGCCTAGGAATTCAGCTTAGAGGTAGAGGGCCTCTTAGATCATGGGCAAAGCCCTGGGTTCAAACCTAAACACTGCAAACAAAAGTTTGCTTGTTTCGTGTGTTTAAAATGCACGGTGGCTTTAGCATGAATGTCAGGTGAGATCATTTGTGTGCTGGCTTATAGTTTCCAGAATATCACAATGATTATTGTCCTATTTAACCTTCAAGAATCCTAGAAAGGGTTAAATTTTTCTCTATAGATACAGAAAGTCTAGATGATTAGGGGTAAGAAACTCAAGTAAGACCTACGGTGGTAGAAAGGACACAACTCACCCCCCAGCTGTGTTTAAAATAGATAATTTATCATATATACACGGTAAATTACATAGCCAAACAATGTTTATAGAGTGTCGTAAACGGCCACCAGAGTACACACACATCAACAAGCATCCTGAACAGCACTCCGCATCGGGATGACTCTCGCAGAGTAGATCTACTTCCATCAAGTCCGACTTTTCTGTACATCATTTAGGTCCACAGAGAAACTTCTCCAAGGTCCCCTGGAGTCCACACAAGACCATTGCGGTTCACATCCAAAGCTGAGATGGACAAAGTACCGGCCAAGAGTTGAGTTTTCCTGACATAGTTTTCTGAAACGGCTTGTTCTTCCACTTCTATGCGGAGGGGACAGTGAGAGGCTCTGCTCTCCAGGGAGTGGGAGCCGACTGAGTTCGGCACACTTTACCCACTTACGTGACATACCCACTGGTACCATACTCGAGTCTTTGGAAAAGAGAGAGCAATATGTTTTCCTATCACTCTAGGTCCATTCTGCCAAAGGGGGACAAGCACTTTACAATGGTGCTCTTGTGGACCTACAGCCCCGGTGAGGGATGGGTCTGAAGAGGAGTGCCGGAATTTCTCGAGACGGACCTCAGACTTTGAACCATCAGCACTCTGCCCTTACATGGCCAGCTTCAGAGCATCTATTAAACAATGGATGCCATCATAAGTGGCTGCTTGCCATCACAACCGGGGGCTTGCTGTGCTCCAGGTGTCCCAGCACACATCTGAGCCTCAGAGAACCAGTGAGTCCATATATCCCACCTCTCTCTGTGACCTCTACAGGCATTTCCTGTGGCTTTAAACTGGGTGCTTGATGTCTTAGACACAGTGAGGGGTGGCAGATTAAACTTGAGATTTAACTTGTTATTTAACAAATTAAGACTCAGGAAAAGAAGAGAAGAAAGTGATAAGGGTTGGCTCAGCAGATGCTCCTGGAAGCAGAGTCCTTGCATCTCAGGATCAGGCCAGGGACCTCTTGTCTGAGGAGACATAGCCCAAGGCTGTGGCCCCTCTTTCCTGCGGAGTGCGTATCTCTTAGAAGACATGAGACTGCCATGGGAAGGGGCTCCCCATCACACTGAAGGCACGTGTGAAAATACAAAAATAGGGCCTCTGTTTCTGAGTGTCATAAATAAGAGGGAGCAGGTGACAGCCAGAGGCGTCACTACAGCTGGTTCTCCTCAAAGAGGATCTGCGCGTACACGGTGCTGCTGGGGACTCCCTTGGCTGCACGGCGCGGTTTGATCAGCTCCAGCTCGGCATAGGTCAAGTTTTCCTCAGCGATCTTTGGCTGTATAGAAAAACAAAAGCGAAACACAATGCAAGCTGACCACAGTCAAGTTGTCTACCATGCACTCATTTACCGAGTACCTGTTTTCACAGTATTTATAGGGCGGTAAGGGAAACGTGTAGGCAAACACAAATAGGCAAAACCAAGTAACATCAAAAGATACAGCTCACATAGAACACCATGCTCTGCCAAGAGACACTGCCATTAATGTTGAAGTTGGTGTCAAGTACTCACAAGAGCCATTGGACTCTAGCTCACAAATAATAGCTAATTCTAAAAAGCAAAACCTAGCACTAACACTGGTCAAAAGGAAATGCACGGGAGACAGAAATAAGTCTACTGGCAACTAATACCAAACTTAGAAAATTTTGTGAATGATGTAATTACATAATGAAAAATTCAGAGTATCAGGAAAATAATAATGAAGAAAGTATTTCTTGCTACATGCTAAAGAGTACGGCGAGAACAGTAGTCATGGAACATTAAGTGATTTATTACTTAATAACATGATGAGGCTTAAACATCGAATTCAGAAAGTTAGGAATTGAACAAAATGATAAGAGAAAACAAAAAACAGAAAACAGACCAAAATATCTAAAATCAAGTGCTTGGAAAGTACCAATAATGGGCATATTGGTAAAAAACTGATCACTATAAAAAGGAAAAATATAAAAAAGTATGAATGAATAAAACAGGAAACAAGAAAGGTAATAGATTGAAAATAAAGGGATTTTTACACACTGTTAGAAGCTGCTTGGCTCAACACACTGAAGAGGAAAACTGAAACACAGGGTAAAATGATATGTCCCAGAAAATATGAATGATAAATGCTAAGTGTAGGCAACCTGAATTTGCTAAATACCCTCAGAGGCAGCAAGGAGGGGTTGCCTCTTAGCAGCACCAGGAGAGCTATTGGCCGGGCATTCCTGAAGGAAGCTGCTGTGCAGAACAGACCATCTCACGTCATTATGCTGATCAGAGAACAAGAGGGAAGACAACCCTGACGGGTTTTAGAATGAACTCTGTGTTCATACACATTTTAATTCAAATTTATTCAGGAGAGTGAAGAGGCACATAAGTGATAGGTAATCATATTCAGGTTGATTTTATCCTGGAACACAAACATGGTTCAGTATTTTAAAATGATTTATATTAGTAAAAGAGCAAAAGAGAAAAATCTCATCATTATCTCTATAGATGCTGGAAAGCCATTCAATAACATTTAAAAATCACTGTTGACAAAGTCAATCTTTGAATGACGTAGTCACAGCTGCATGTTTTCTTAATATGATTAAGAGATGGTAAGATAATGAAAAATTGGCAAATACTAAAACTATACAACTGGACTAATTTAAATATGGCAATGCTGGCAGATGAACAGACATGCTTATCAGTGGAACTGGCTAGAGACCCCAGAAGTATCATCTTCCAGTAAATGCTACTGCAATATTTGGGAGCAAAATGGAATAAAATCACACCCTATATCACCTCCAAATATGTAAACCCCCTAAAACTATTAGAATAACATACAGAGAACTTTTAGGAAAACCATCTTAGGCATATGGCAACTTTACAAATGGCGCATTGTCCTGCTCTAGATGGCAAAATATTCTCTTAATTGAGTCAAAAAACAATAATAAAAAAAAAAAAGAACAAGGAAGATGTTTGCAGCTCATATCTAAGGGGCTGACAGTTCAGCAAAGATCCTGACCAACAACCCACCAGGGAACAAGCAGAGGACGACAAAGCCCCAGGCTCCCAGGAAAGGACACACAACAGCTCTTGTGCAGATAAGTGAGACAACCTTGCTCACCCCGAGAGACCCACAGCTTTGGTCTTAGTTCTTTGAGAAGTTTGTACAATGCGGTTTTTGTCACACTCAGCCATCTTCAAATCCTCCCAGATGCCCCTCCTGCCTATCCACCTAACTTTGTGTGCGTGTGTTTTCCACCCATCAAGTCCAGTGTGAGCTGCACACATATTCTCGGATGAGTGGCCTTTCACTGAAGCGTGGGCAAACTCTAAGAGGCAACACTCCTGAAGAAAACTGACTGTCCCTCTCCCAGCAGCTGCCAATTGCCAATAGCTCCTCGGCTAGAGGTGGGACCTCATGTTCATCTCCTCTCTCCGTGCTGGGGTTTGGTCTGGCTTGAGTGGGGCTTGTGATGCCGACACAATCGCTGTTACTGGAAGGCATGATTTTAAATCACACTTAAGTGTGGCGTTTTAAGTTTCCAAACAAATTTTAAGTTGCTCAAACTACTATATCCTCTCATTTGTTGCTATTGAGATTATTCTCTTCTTTGGGACAAAAGAAAGGAAGGAAGGAAGGAAGGAAGGAAGGAAGGAAGGAAGGAAGGAAGGAAGGAAGGAAGGAAGGAAGGAAGGGCGAAAGAAAGAAGGAAAGCAAGCTCAGGTTCTTCAGTAGAAACATGGGCATTCGTAGAACAGAATGTATGATGGAGGAATCTTTAACAACCATGGAGCTGGGGCCGGCGGTGTAGCTCAGTTGTATGCTGCTTGCCCAGTTTGTGCAAGGCCTGGGGTTTGACCCTCTGTACCATAAATATCATTCAAAACCAATGGAGCTGTACACGGTCTCTATGTAGTGTTATTTATGAAAATGTGTGTGCATACATGCATGTAAGCAAACATGTTACCCTTGGAAATCAGTAAGTGGAGAACCCAATAGCCACAGCTTCAAGGGGTGTAAACTGGGTGGTTGGGAAGACTCTCACTTTATTTTTTATTCTTTGTTTTGTACCTTTTGGATGTTGCAGTAGGCATATCTAGTTACCCGACACACCGATTAATTAAAATTTGCAATTAGATAAGTAAACGTGGTCACTAATTACAGTCATATCGACATTTTCATTTCAGCAACTCTGTGTTTCTGACTTAGATGTTAGATTTGAGGGTTAGGTTTTCAGTTTCTTTTTTGTTGTTATTTTGAATCACACTCTTTAAAAACAAACAAACAAACAAACAAAAACCTATATGCCTCTATCTTTTTTATCTTATGGAAGTCCAGGGCAAAGACACTGTTAACATGGAATGTACGTGTCTCCAACAGGATGTCAAAGCAGAGAGTGTTTGTTCTTTTGAGACAAAATGCTGAGAGGACTGGAAACAAGGGGCCCAAAAGGGTGGACAAAGAACTTAATGCCAGCATATCCGGCCCAGGTGACTTCCACGCGATGTGCACAGGGTCTAACCATTTTTCAAGTTCAAAATTAAGCACATTTGTAGGGATGGAGTCTCGGTTTGCCTTTTGACACTGAAAGTCTTTACACTGTGTTCTGGTCGTCCACCTCTTACCAGCCAACGAAACCCCACGTACCTTCTCGCCTTGTGCTTTCATTACATTTCACATTGTAATGATTCCATTTAGGAACACCACGTGTCCTCCAATAAGTACTCAAAACCCAACTCATGTAAATTTTAGAACCCAGGCTTATGAAATCATATTGTCCAGTTGTTTTATTGCATTACTTTGAAAGCGTATTGTTTTCTAGTGTAGATTATCTGTTTATTCTTAAGTTATTTCATTATGTTTGGATATGAAAAATAACACCAGCTTTCTCAGTACAGGTCACCAGGCTGGCGTGGTTGATCTGTTGTTTTCATACATTTTTATGATGTTCCTATAGTAAACATAATTTAATAAAGCCAAAGCACACTAAATAAATAATTGCATCTAGAAAAGCAATAAAAACAAATAAAATTAGTACTTTCATAAGTGGGAAAGGTACTTCAATTACTGCTACAAGCAACAACCCACCATAAAATGTGTACAATCATTTCCCTTATGCATATTTCTGGAGTGTAATAATTTGATTGAAGATATGAGGCAGCACACAGGAGGCTCCGGAGTGTGAAGTGTATACAGTTTACAACAGAAGATGCATAACAGCAGTGCTTGGCACCTTTAAAGAACCTATTGTTTTTCTGGCAGGCACAGTTGGCTGGCACCATCAAACATGTGCTTAACTGCAGTCCTCAGCTTGATCGACTGGAAATACAGTCCTAACAGCCAAGGGAAATGGGCAAATGGGTCCCTCTCACTGGTTTCCCCGACCGGCCTTTGTTTACGATGATGCCTCAGTAAAGCTTAGGTCCACCTAAGAAATAGCTTAGAGATGGTAAGACCAGAGGGCAGAGTAAAGCCAGCTGCCAGGACCAGGGTATGACGTAACCATCACAGGAGGCAAGGGCTTGCCGTGGGACAGGACCAGGTAAGGGATCTCGATTGCTATAGTCCAGGTACTCTCACCGTAACCTTGGCTAGACAAACCCAACAAACCCATCCCCAGTGTCAACAGCAATTCCAGTTCTAGACAGAAGTGCAGGTTTCTGAGGATGGACCAGGGAGCACTCTGTGTGTTCTCTACTGGCCACCAGTTCTCAAAACAGCAGTCTTTAGGCCTGTTTGGTACTCTGGATATTGGGGTGGGGTGGGGTGTGGGGTGTAGAATTACAGTTAGTCTTCTATATCTGTGAGTCCTGCAAACAGCCCAGTGTTTGGGGAAAAGTTGCATCTGTACTACACATGTAGACTTCCCTCTGCTGTTCCCTAAACAATACAGCACACCTACTGTTTATACAGCGCTTGCATTATATTTAGTATGGTAAGTAATTTAGGGATGATCTCAGGAACACAGAAGGATATAGGGAGGCTACATTGTGATGCAGATATACACCATTTATACCAAGGACTTGGCTTTTGCTTTATATGGGGAGTCCTAGAAGCATTCTCCCAAGGAATCAGAGGGGTGGCGAGACACAGGCCACCTGAGAGCAAGCTTCAGTCATACTAACCCGCTGTTTGTATGCCCTCTTGCAGCCTTAGGGCTCTGCTGAAAGCATTAACAGGAACTTCCAAAGTGGGACTCATGGTCCTCTGACTAAGCCAACATCATACACAGCTGCTGCTGAATTTCCAGGAAGCAGACTGTGCCACTTCTAAACCCATCAGCAGCACCTCTTCAGGACACTCTGGT